GCCATTGAGACAAGGATGGGATAACTGTGGTGGGTCCAACGTTAGCAAATGCTGTCCATAAGAGATGAGCGGACAGCCAGTCTACGCAGTGATGGAAACCTCACTCGGTCTCAACCATCCCCCTCCATGCGCCCGCTGTCCGTGCGGACAGGCCACAGCAATGGCTATCACAACAAAAAGACGCACGGACACCAGCAAGGCAACGATGACTGCATAAAGCGACTGCCACAGAGTCCGCCAGTTCGATTCCATGTGCGTGCTGCACATCCAGCTGTCTAAGATGTCAGCTAACAACGGTGCTCCAGTGTTATCCTACCTGAGTTATCAGCCTAGGACTCTTATTTGTGCTCTCCTAAAAATTCTCGTACGTCCACGCTAAAGCATCAGATAAGATAATCTTTCCTGAAAAACGGTATCAAATGCTCTTCCAGTCTCAAGTTGCGATGGCAGGATAGGCAGCTGTCAGTCAATTGCAGCTGACGCCCTTTAAGGGAATCCAGAACAAAAATTGGAGGGTGAGCACTTTTGAAGCAGTAGGGATGACGCTAGTACTCAGACCAACACATAAGAAGCGTATCAAGTGATTCGACCGTCGCGCCCCACAATGCCCATCTTGGCTGAAGGTTAACGATAAAGATGACATGCATTTGAATTAGAACCTAGTGAAGAAGACTTGCACACCACCGACCCCACTCTCTTTCTATCTCGACAAAGATAGCCGGCAATACCAAAGAGCATGATAGCTGATCTTGGCAAATCCCACCGTCCGCATGTGCCACAATACAACTGGTTCCCTCCTACTGACTAAGCCAGGCTACAGTAGAGCGGCGGTCAAGTTAACTTTCATCTTGTTTCTCCTCGCCAGTCCAGGCGGACCGCTCCACGCAGGGCAGATTCGTGGACGACAGGTAGGGTGCCGCGCGGTTAGAAATTCGGCTCAATTACCAGTCCTGCAAAATCCGTAGCCCTGCCTGGGCGTTCCATACCCACTGATACCACATGTACAGGGGGCTTAAGAAGCCGGTGGTAGTTTTCTTTAACGGCTTGCCCACTCACGTTAATGAATCTCATGACAAAATATCCCAGAGCCTGTAAGTTTTCACGCCTCACGGAGGTCTCACGAGATCTTGCGAATGAGGACAAGGAGAGGACTACACTAGAATGTGAATTAAGGCGTTAATCATTCCGAAGAATACCGACAAGACGAAATTTATTCTAACTAAAGTTTAAGATTTTTATACACCTTTGAGGTAGCTTAACTGAAAGCCCAGCAAATCCCGTAATAAGACCAGCAGAAGTGAAAACATCGGTCAAAATGAGAAAAATTTACAACCACACGATTTGGTGACTGGTGTAAAGACTACAGCAAATTTCAAGAGCACAATCCATGATGGCGTCTCATATGATCACCTGAGAAAATACCACCTCTTAAGGCACTCCAACAAAAAAATCCGGAAGGTGCGCTGTAAAATCAGAAATACAAGCTCTCCCCCACTAGTAAACCGAATTTCCCTCCTCGGTGGTTTGCGCAGACCAGTAAACACCAGCCCTAACATGTAATTCAGGGGCGAGGGGAGAAGTACCGGCACTCAGTTTTATAATGCGCACAGACGATGATGGAGCATGTACATTTCCCCTTCGCTTGGCATTAGGCGCAAGTGCCGCCCAACGCTCACAGCATTTTTCCAAAATAAAAGAATGTTATTTTGATCGACTCTAAAAGAACCCTCCTCGTGTGTCTGAAGTTAAAGAGCAGTTATACTATTTGGCTTTTGAAGTAAGCAATCAAGTAGGCGCCCGACTTGAGAGCCTTTAAATGCTACATTATTTCCGAACAGCAAATGAGCGAATTTCTTCTCGGAGACGGCGGCGTGATAATTTATAATGACGGCTCAAGTAGAAAGTATTGCTCAAGCGTGATAACCAGATGGCGCGTACTGGTTATTGTACAATTTTGATGTAGAAGGCATTTACAAATTTATAGTAGTAACCAATGCTTGTTGTATGTAATTACTTACGCAATTTTCAAAGACACTTGCCTAACACATTGTTTTTATGACGTTATTGTAAAGTTATTGTAAGCAAAGGCATTCGCCTACCTTTCCCTTAATAAATCTGATCTGATCTGAACATGGTGTCTAAAATCGAAGTGGGACAAGCGTAAGGTAAAAATAGAAGGCCAGTATTATGTCTGCAACATAAAAAAGGAAGAAGATTTCGGAGGACTCGGAAAGTCGGGCAAAGATGGCCAAACCACGGAAGTTCGTCCTCTAGGCTAAAAGTAATGGCCGACAGGACAAATAACTGCAAAATCCATCTATACAGTAATGACACCGGCTAACGTAAAAGTGAAGACAGTGGCAGGACCATAACTGATAGTCAAATTTAAGCGTTCTATCCCTCTAGAACGATGGCACGAAACTGTCACACGCTTGACGAAACTCGTGAAGTGGTTCCTCAAAGTAGCAGCTGTCACAAATAAAAAAATTACATAGGTACGAATAACGTCGGTTAGATTAGGTCAACCACATCTTCGATGTGGCTCTGTCGCTATTCTAGGCTCCCCTTGCACAATCTCAAAGCCTTATTCGGATTGGGATAATCCACAATAATCGCAGTAAAAAGAACAGCCTCAACGAGACCACGTACTGTAATTTATGGAATTATGAGCCAATCTTCATAATAATCCTACTTTATGAGTCAATCGATCGACACTAAAAGCGCAAAAGAGCCAAAACGGTTGGTGTGGCGAGGTGTGACGAGATGTCTGAAACTGGTCATGAGCCAGCGGCTTTTCAGCGAGAACTTACAGTGTAAAACACGCATAGATAAAAAAAGCCTTTTTATTGCTGCCTGGAAAGGCGAAATATCTACAAGATTCTAGCTAACAGCAGATCCAATCACAAATTACACATGTCAGGGAACCCGACTGATACGAGTACACATTTGCAGGCGAGAGGACTTAGGAGACAAAGAGCTGATATGAATTGTCTTGCGTCACTTCGGCGAACAAACCGGCGGAAGGGAGTACGTGGACAGTTTCACTAGTGGAAGGATCTTCGGTCGGCTGCTGACGGTCGGTCTCCGAGCGAACAACTGGCGGGGTTGAGGGCTCGTCTTCAGAGGCACCCCTATCAGGGGACGCAGGTGCGGTCAAATGTAGAAAGACCGGGGTGATACCCGGTGGAAGTCCACTGCTAGTAATGCGCTGGGCAGCTGTGTGAAGTTGCTCCAGCAGTCTGGGAATGACTGAAATGGGAAGTAAGCTAGGGATCAGCAACGAGTTATAAAACGTCGTCAGACTCGTTGTTAAAGCACACTAAAAATAGTTCCATAACGGAAAATTGACAACCTCCAGCAGGCCGTTTCAGCGCCCAAGCCTGTGGATCAAAACGTTCAGAGGAGCAATACATGTGGAGCGGAACTCCTGTCAATCATGCATAACATACTCTGGATGCTTTACAAACAAAAACACAGTGTTGACTCGAAATTGCAGTTTTCAGACAGAATATTCAAGTTTCGTAAAGAATGAGAAGACAGAGCGTTAGGAATCCAGCCAATCTATCGGGAAAAGCAACCGCCGTTATCCAACGTAGGCAGGTGTGTCTACTAAGGCACTTACTAGAGTTTGCTTAGATAGGTGTGGCTTGGGTTGTTGCCAACTGGCAGGATGAAGGAGTTCTTGGTCAGATGAGGGTCAGGCTGTAATGGCGCCCTGGTGAGGCCTTTATCGCAGCCCTCTTCAGGTAGATATCGGATTCCCCCTTCCCAAGGCCCGGCTCGCGTACGTGTCGGGACCAGCACGTGCAGACACTTTTCTGGTCTCGGTAGCAACTGTGCTTGTCCCCATTTCCAGCTCTATTGACCCTGTCTCGCCATCGGAACATGGAGGATGTAGCCAAAGCAAGGAGTAGAGACCGCTCAATTATCTTTAACCAAAAACTAATTAACACGCTGGTCATTGTGGTCCCCATCGGTAGTGGTGATCTTCGTAAGGCATGACAGACGCATTATCAGAGAAAGTACTCTTGACGGGAGAAGGGCAAACTCATCGCGGTATTTGCGATGAGCTCGCGCTGATTCTAGAGTTTTTCCGGGAGTGCGAGGCTGAGCGCACATAGTTCACCCGATGCGTGATTCCACTTTTCTGCAGAAAGCTAGATCTAGGGCAGCGGGCTTAACATCAGTTAAAGATCTGCACGGCCCACTGTGACCGGCCAGGTAGCTCTACGAGATCATGTCCATTTAAAAATTTTATATTTCCTGTATTTCAGCAAATTTGGTCGTCAGCAAAGAGAACTTATCAGCCTAATCAATAACCGCAGCATATTGGCCATGAACCACTCTAATGCTGGAATGTTTCATCCATATGCGGTCAGGAGCACAGCGGGTCTCGCAAATGAACAGGGGCGACCAAACTGTGAAACCTTGACGAACGCCAGAGATAACACGACAGTTCGATTAATGCGCCCTTCCGGCACCGCATCCAACAATGTTGCCCGACTCCAGCTGATGGGATAGCGGTCAGTGGCCCAGTGGTAGAAAGGTGGACTCAATAACGCCCGATGGTCCTGCAAACGCGAGTAAAGATTTGAGGTCCAGATAAATTATCGCGTTCACCATACTCAGAAAGAGATATTTCATGGACACTGTGTTCACGCTGATCTTTCGGAAACTTCCACGTTTTCATCACCAGAGCAGTGGCGTGTCTGTTCATGCTAGTCTAGAGTGACCATTCTCTCTGTGTACTCCGTTTTGTTCAAAATAGTGGTGGCACCTCCTTTGTCAGAAGGTGGAATGATGACGTCTTTGTCTTGTTTTAGGGCTTTAAGTGCTTTCGTTTCATCGTAAGATGCGTTGGGAACTTGTTTCGGCTCTTTAATGCCTGTACAGTGCTGCTGTGAATGGTGAATTGTTCTTCTTCGGTAAGACTGCTTGATGATATGATTGATTCGAAGCTGGCAAGGAAGTTCAAGTAATTGGAGTGCACAGCACGTTTTGCTCTGTTGCCGTTAGAACCCTAGAGGATAGGTTTACGACTTTCTTTGGACACGTAGAATTAGTACAACCTTTATAAGATATAATTGTCCACTTTTTGTCCAAGGTGCTCCTCTTTTTTAGCCGCTCTAGTTCTGCGACATGTATGATGGTTTCCCTTAGGATCTCAAATAAGTGAGTAGGCAGTCGATCATGGCAAAAGTGCATGTAGTGCTCCTTTTGCGCTCTGAATTTGCGAAGTCGTTGACGCGCATCAGTTATAAATGCTCCAAGCATTTGTTGGCCATACCGGGTAGCAAACTCGGAAATTTACACAATAAAGTTTACTGTTTCCCAAAGAATTCCATATTCTTAAATGTAAATATTGTAACGTAGGCATCCCAAGAAATATAATTTAAGAGCAAATACGTTCTCTGGGAAAAGCAGAAAACTTTATTGAGTAAATTCTCGACGCCAGTTCCCCGTGCCGTCGTCAGACTCGAGTAAATGTGCAAAAAACAATTAACATTTCAAACGTGCTGAGAAATCAACATTCATTTCAATTTCAGCCAGTAAGCGGTCGCCGTGTTCGTCAGTCTGTATCGATTGGCCTTCGCCCCTTCCACTTTCCCTGAGACTTTTGCCATGTATTGTGGCCAAACGGGGAAATTAGCCTCTACACGCATTCACGAGTATCAAATGACAGTTAAGAGGCGGGATCACCTGTCTCAAATGGCCATGCACACTCTTGATACTGGGCACACCTTCGCATGGGATAAAACTCGCATCGCCGGAGTTTGCCCATCTAGAAAAGGTCGAGAGTTTCTTGAAGCCAAAGACTCCGACGAGTCATGCATCACTAGACGCGTCGAACTAGATTCCACGTACAAGTCTCAGGGAAAAGTGGACGAGGCGAAAGCCAATCGATACAGACTGACGCACACGGCGGCCGCCTACTGGCTGAAATCCAAACGAATATTGATTTCTCAGCAGGTTTGAAGTGTTAATTGTTTTTGGCACACTTACTCGAGTCTGACGACGGCGGGGGGAATTGGCGTCGATAATTGACTCAATAAAGTTTTCTACTTTTCCCAGAGAACGTATTTGCTTTCAAACATATACATGGATATGTTTTGAAGGATATGATTCCTTCTGCACTAGTCTCCCCCGTCAGTGAAAGCAATCCAATTCCCCATATACTATTAGTCACTATGCGACTACCAGCGGGGCTCCAGATGGAGCATAGAAAACTCAACGGGGCCAGTGGATCTCGTAACTGACCTGTGAGCGCCCATCTACAGTTGTCAAATTCCCGACCGAAACCGAAGGGACGAGGAGCCCGTGATTAAAGGTCACGGGACCCACTCGTCCCGTTGAGCTGTTGGGGCTCGGTCTAGAATCCCGCAGACGGCCGCGCTGTGGCTAGTTGTATAGGCGGAAGGACATTAACGACAAAGACAAGGGAAACTGGAATGGAAATCTCTCGCTTATTGGCCGTTATGAGCCAATTATACGCACTCCCAGGTCTTCGCAACTCTTAAGGCTCAAATTCGCCTAACGCTCTAACCCTTGAGCCACCAGCTCCTCGTCTTGTCGGTTTCGATCGGAAATACTGACAACGGTAGGTGGACGCTCGCTGGGCGGTTACGAGACTCACTCGTTCCGTCTAGTCTTTGGTACTCGATATAGAGCCCCGCGGGCAGTCGCATTGTAACTAGTAGTATATGCGGAATGAGATGGACATCAAAGACAAGGGAGGCTGAGAGTACTCTGTGGACCGTCTGTGTTGTGTGCGTGTGTTCGTGCTTCTGAGCAGGGCGGCGAGCGGCTGACTCAAGGCAACATAAGCCCGAAATGGTAGTGCATCAATTTATCCATATTTCCGTCGACGGCCCCCGTGCCATGATAACTTGGCTGAGTTCGGCCTAGCAGGTGGTTTCCCGTTCGTGACTTCGCCATTTATTCGCAGTTCCCTTGCCTTGGGAATTTAACGAATGGGTGCTCATCTCTTCCAATCTAAGTAGTCAGATGTTGTCGGTAAATTGGTTTTTCTTGTACAGGCAGTGTGGTCAGTTCAGGCGAGAAAGGAGCGGCTGGCGTACGCAACGGGAAGTAAAACACTCGGGCGTTTGATTTGACCTGTGCCGGTACCGCGAATGAGAAGAGGAATGCCAGCCCTAAAATAATCTACGTTTAAACAAAACAGCTACTAACGAGTGGAGATTAGCCATTTTTATGTGTCAATTAAATTTGCATACGAAACCGTCCAGTTTGAGAAATCTGCACCAGAAAGTGGTGCCGACTTTTATGATTTTATTTGAAATGTTATTTATTAATTGATTATGCTCGATCAATTTGGACTCTGTGTCTTCGTAAGTCACTTCAGTCTTCATTTCTTCAGATTTTGATAGGCATTTAATTTACGAGCAAATCCAGGGAACCCCAATGGGGTCCTCGATTTCGGGCTACCTGGCCGAAGCGGTCTTGCAGGAAATGGAATCTCGAGTCTTTCAGTCCTGCAAGCCAAAGTTTTGGATGCGCTACGTAGATGCCACCTTTTCAATCATACGCCGAGGCGCGAAAGACGGCTTTAAACGGGAACTGAACTCGGTTTTCCCACAAATTCAATTTATCACGAAGGAATAAAAAGACGGAGTGCTCCCTTTCCTCGATGTTCAGGTAACGAGACAGGAAGACGGAACCCTCCAGACTGGTGTGTTTCGAAAAGCGATAAACACGGCGAAAATTCTTCACTAAAACAGCAACCACCCCCCGTCGCATAAACGCAGCTGCGTCCGGATACTTTTTCGCCGTACCAACACACTGCAGTACAGAAGCCGAGAAGCTGAGGGAGCGTAAAACCCTATGGCACCTCTTCCTTGCCAATGGATATCCGCGCAGTTTTGTAACCAAATGCCTATATCAAAGACACACGAGGGCCGACGGTGAGAACACACAAAGACCTGAAATATTCAGCGTTCCGTCTTACGTGAGAAATGTCTCCGAAGTCACTAAACGCATGCTAAGACAACTATGCGTGGGCGTTGGACACCGGCCGCAGGTCACCATCCGCCGCTTACTCATGCAGCCCAATGGCCGGCTCCCACCTGCAGACACGTCAGACGTCATTTACCGCGTCAAATTTCTAGACTTTAGGGTAAGGTGATTCCATACTAACAGCACAGATACTAGCCAAAAGCCCATACACGCGTATTTCGCCGATATTCTGCCGCTGCATGACACAGCTGCGAGGGGTTCGGTTCCCCAGCACGCCCTGTCTGCTTTCTGGTAGATGCTCCAATTTAGAACTTGTAGTTTTTTAATTTCCTTAGAAATTAACTGCGAACTTGGAGTATATCAGTATATATAAGGTCTACAGGCTCAGTCCGAAGTTTTCATATATGAATATTTGGACCGAAGTCCACCAGCCACAGCGGATAACCGCGTAATATTCATTAACTGCCGACACGCAGCTAGTAGTATACTTTAGGGTAAGGTGATTCCATACTAACAGCACAGATACTAGCTAGTACCTGGCTAGTATCCGAATGCTTCAGATGTCCGTAAATGCCAGCACTGGTCCGCGAAATTTTGATAGAGCGACTCCGACTTCCGCGATGCCCATAGTACGGGAAGACCAGTGGGGCTGGATAATGGCCTTTTGCGTAAAACCGTTGAGGTTGACTCCCATCGTGTTATCGAGTAATTATCAGAAAGACTAAACTCGTTACGGTAGACTGTTCAGGAGCATTTTCAACAAATAGAGAAGTCAGCAGGCAAGGATACTGAGTCCCACGATAACTTTCGATAAAAAAAAAAAACAAAATAACGCGTTTCACGATCTGCGAACTTTCATTACGCAAACCGGAGATAAACGGCAGTCTGTGTCTGGCCTGTCGCACTCTCAGTGAAATCTCTAAATATTTGGACTGCTGTACGTCAAAAATTACGTCTTTTTCATAACAGTCTGATTTTTGGTATCTGTCGTATAAGCGAAAGACTTGTAAAATGAAAATATTAAAAATACTTAGCTGAATTAAAGAGAATTTTGACAAGAAAGATAGCAGCCATCTAAACGTTAATCGATCAAGGAAAAATACGGTTAAAAGTTAAAATAACGAATTCGAAAGATGTCTAAGGAAGCAGGTTAATCGAAGACGAGATGAGTTTAAAGGACTCAGTCAGGCTAAGGATATTGGAATGTTAGCATGACTTACAACGGTAGGTCTCAAATTCAACAGTATGCTTCATAGCAATAGCTTCCTGGTAAAAATATTTTTAGTAACAAGATCAAACGGCACAATAAAACGAACAGGGCTGCCAATTGCTACTGAAGGCGACAACGCTCCTTGTTTGCACTCACCCAAACTACCAATGTACCATAAATTATTTATTGAAAAACGGGTTGAACTGCACATTCACCGTAAAATTTAATTCTTAGCGACGTAGCAAGTTTTGGATTTGAGATTCTGTGGCTTTGGCCGACAGTAGGAAAAGCGGGATCATAGGTGAACATTACGCCGGCTAGCTGGCCAACTAATGGCATTGGAACATCTGGTGAGTTTCTGAGGATAACACCATGTGCCTTGTAAGTGGTGGAAATTTTTAATAGCAAAAAGGAGACTGCGCATTAGCTCGATTTTTCAAATGTTGATAATTTATGGAAGGGTAACGTACTCATATTCTGCAGCCAGCTCACTGTCTCTCTGGAAACTGAAAGCTTTGGGTCATCTGAATAGGTGAGAAAGTAATCCAGCCCTGCCTAAAAAAGTAAGGGAATAAATGGCTGCATTAAATGTTGCGACTCTCTCGCACAAACATAGAGACAGTTGCCGACTTACCTCGTCGAAACGAGAGTGTGATCTAATCAGCATGTTCGACTCATAGCTACTCACAGAAACGACGTTTGGTCCAGCGACGGATGCGGAATACCAGGACCTTTCGACCGGTTGAGAGGGACTGTCGTGCTTTTGAACTTCCGAGGGTTGCGTCACTGCACGCGAGACTATTAAGGCCAGGCCGCTGGAAAAACAGCCTGCGTTCGACTTGGATTCAGTCTTAGCAACACAAGACGAGTGCATTTCGGCCCACCACCGCCGGGCGTAAACATACTCCCGTCTGGCCATTGGAAAGGGGAACTTCGAGACCCATCGAATAATTTCAGTTTGATCAGCACCGTCCTGACTGCCACTGCGGGGTCGCATCGTTTCCAGTAGCGAGACATGCGGGTCCCACTGTCGTCTGTAGGACAAATTTAGCTGAACTTCGAGAAAACTGGAGGCGGAGATGTCAGTAAAGGTTCCACAGGCTGCAGAAGGAAAATGTGTCGGTCAAAATTGCGTACCAGTGGGGAGCTTCTGCGTGAATCATTTCCAATTAATTGTTCGGAACATACTCTAACGCGAGCAAATGTCGCCTATGAACGCCGATGAGGTTTGACTTTGCCTTTTGCTGTTGTGACGTTTCCGAGTGACTAAACGGCGTCCGGATCCGCATGTGTAATGGTTGTTATTGCAAGAACCGTTAAGGTGCCAAAGAGGTCGCGTTAAACCGAGTCAGTCATGACTGATTACCGCCAGACAGCAGATTCATGTTAATTATTAAGTTTGCTACCATGAACCATATACAGCAAACAAGGCAAATCGTGATATCAAGCGTTACTTATAATTGGGATGAAAGGGTTTTGGTGTGTGATCCTGATCCTAGAGACACAAAAACGACAAAGAAATTAAAGCGTTGTGAAGGGCTGTAAATGATTTTACCATGGAAGTTTCCACTATATTTGTCCACTTCGAAATTCTATGACAATAAATAAGCAGTTGAATAGCCAACGTGTTTGCGTGGGACAACGGTGAGGAACGACCGTACAGGCCGTCTAATTCTGGGCCACCAAAGAATTAATTGTAGCAAGCACTTTAGGTATCCGGCGAGGTCATACAGTCATTCAGAGTTCAGAGTGCATGTTACTTTTATATCTAGACTATGCAAAACAATGTGGGTGTTGGCGAAGCTATGACACTAGGAATCGAATTTTGGAGGAATTGCGAGGGTGAGCACACCTCTTGTGATTGACCCTGCGAACGACTATAGCTGAGGAGATCCAAGGCTATGCGGACCGCAACGAATGGAAGAACTTCTTCTCCGCGATCAAAGCTGTCTACGGTCCGCCGACGAAGGGCACTGCTCCTCTCCTCAGTGCCGACGGCAGCACTCTCCTGACTGAGAAGACGCAAATCATATAGCGATGGGCCGAGCATTTCCGAGGCGTCCTCAACCGCCCCTCCGTCATCTCCGACACCGCCATCGAGCGTTTGCCGTAAGTGGAGACCAACGTGGACCTCGACCTTCCGCCATCCCTCCAGGAAACCATCAGGGCCGTACAGCAGCTCTCCAGCGGGAAAGCACCCGGATCGGACGCAATCCCTGCTGAGGTCTACAAGCACGGAGGTCCCCAACTCATGGATCACCTGACTGCGCTCTTCCAGGAGATGTGGCGTCAAGATGAAGTGCCGCAAGACTTCAAAGACGCAACAATCGTGCACCTATGCAAGCGAAAAGGGAATCACCAAGTCTGCGACAATCACTGCGGAATCTCCTTGCTGAACAGAGCCGGGAAGATCTTCGCTCGCATCCTTCTCAACCGCCTCAATAATCATCTGGAACAGGGCCTCCTGCCGGAAAGCCAGTGCGGCTTCCGTCGTCATCGTGGGACCACGGATATGATCTTCGCCGCCCGTCAACTTCAGGAGAAGTGTCAGGAGATGCGGACCCACCTGTACTCTACCTTCGTGGACCTGACGAAAGCCTTCGACACGGTGAATCGTGAAGGACTGTGGAAGATCATGCAGAAATTCGGCTGTCCGGAGCGAGTCACTTAGATGGTGCGTCAGCTGCACGACGGAATGATGGCGCGAGTCACGGACAACGGAGCTGTCTCAGAGGCATTCGCAGTGACCAACGGAGTGAAGCAGGTATGTGTGCTGGCGCCTACCCTCTTCAGTCTTATGTTCTCTGCCATGCTGATTGACGCCTACCGCGACGAACGCCCCGGGATCCGCATCGCCTACAGGGCGGACGGTCATCTCCTGAATCAACGGCGGATGCACTTCCAATCGCGCGTATCCACAACCCCTGTTCACGAACTCCTCTTCACCGACGACTGCGCCCTGAACACCACCTCGGAAGAGGAGATGCAACGGAGCATGGACCTGTTCTCCGCCGCCTGCGAGAATTTCGGTCTGGTCATTAACACGCAGAAGACGGTGGTGATGCACCAACCGCCACCCAAATCAGCCACAGCCCCCAACGCGCCGCCGCAAATCAGCGTGAACGGAACCCAACTGCAAGTGGTGGAGAACTTCCCGTACCTGGGCAGTACTCTCTCCCGCAACACCAAGATCGATGACGAAGTCGCCAACAGGATCTCGAAAGCCAGTCAAGCCTTCGGTCGCCTCCAAAGCACAGTTTGGAATTGTCACGGACTTCAACTGAGCACGAAGCTGAGGATGTACAAGGTCGTCATCCTGCCGATACTACTGTATGGAGCGGAGACTTGGACGCTGTACGCAAAGCAGGCACGCCGTCTGAACCACTTCCACCTCAGTTGTCTTCGTCGCATCCTGCGGCTGAACTGGCAGGATCGCATCCCCCACACTGATGTGCTGGAACGGACGGGAATCCTCAGCATCCACTCCATGCTGAGACAAATGCAGTTGCGCTGGAGCGGCCACCTGGTGCGCATGGACGACGAGCGACTACCCAAACGACTCTTCTACGGAGACGTCGCGATAGGTTCTCGCCGTCAAGGAGGCCAGATTCGCCGTTACAAGGATAACCTGAAGTCCTCCCTGAAGCGTCTGCAAATCAACCCGACCAACTGGGATGAGCTCGCCCGCGATCGTCCGACATGGAGGAGAACAGTGAAGACGGGCGCTGCTATCCACGAAGCCAACCGCATAGCCGCCGCCAAAGCGAAACGCGAAGCCCGTAAATCACAACTTCGTCCAGTACGCAACGCCGCCGCACAACCGCTTCCAACGTGTCCTCGATGTCAACGGACATTCCGGGCTCGAATCGGACTTGTTGGACATCTTCGGACCAACTGCGCCTCTCGACCTGCACCAACCATCGTCCCTCCGCCCGACTCTTCCTCCCTGCCGCCGCCAACTAACTCTGACAATTCTTCTGAACCACCACTTCCATCCTCCTCCTCCTCCTCCACTGCTCCAACGGCGGCCGCTCAGGCGACTGTGCCGCGCGCAACAACCGACGCCACCACCACCACCTCCCCCGACTACAGCAATGAGGATCAGGACTACACCTGCCCTCACTGCGACCGCACCTTCACCTCACGCATCGGCCTGGTCGGGCACTTGCGGATCCATCGCACAGAGACTGGCGAACCAGTGCCTGGAGCACCAACCTACACCCACCGCACTCGCCTTCACTGCCCACACTCCCCTCGCACCTTCCGGCATCGCATGGGCCTATTCGGCCACATGCGCATCCACGAGAGCGGCATGGACCGCACTCCTGACACGCCCACCACATCCAACGCATTCACCGTGCAAAACCTCACACCCGCTCCACCCGTCCGCGTCACCACCACCACCACCTCCTCTGTAGGTGACACTGACACCGCCGATTTCTCATGCCCACACTGTCCACGCACATTCACCTCACGCATCAGCCTGGTCGGTCACTTGCGAATCCATCGCACAGAGACTGGAGAACCAGTGCCTGGAGCACCAACCTATACTCGCCAAGCTCGTCTCAACTGCCCACACTGCCCTCGCACCTTCAGGCATCGCATCGGCCTATTCGGCCACATGCGCATCCACGACGACCTGCGGTAGACAACCGCCGGCCAAACCACACATTCACTCACTCCCTACCTATCACCACCACCATCACCGCACCACACATCAACACTCCCACACCTCATGCACCCAACTGTCACCTCCCACGCAAGTGGGAAGTGTGCATCTCGACTCGGTCCTCATGCGGCTTCGGCTGCAGGGGTCACTTGAGTCCGAGACTATCCCGACACGTCACGCGTCGTGGATAGGAAGGTTGCTGATTGACGCCCGCTCTCGGTTCACGCAGTTCGTCACGTTGTGTGCGTGTGTTGTGTAGTGGCGGACTGGTGGGCTGCGGACGGGCTGAAGCAGCACCTTCCACGGCCCTCTTACGCAAGTGAGAGTGACGGCTTTCAACCCCGGTTGTGTGAAATCCTGGTGTTTGTGTGTATGGGGGGCCAGGTCGTGCTGTGGCGCACGCAGGCATGGTCAGTCGACCGTGTCAGCCACCGCGCCCATTTCCCACTCCAGTCTGCTGACCGGCTCGGACAGCGGCTGGGGTGTGGGGATGGGAAGGGAGAGTGAGGTCGACGACTCAGCGCATTTTCCTTACTATAAACAATCTGACGGGCTTGAAGCTATCACGATGCGCTAAAAGCCGTGGCCTGGAAGGCTGCCAACTGACGGGGTACCTTGGACCTCCTCCTTAACGGGAGGCGGTCTGAGAGTCAGGCTGCAATGGCTCCTTTTAAATGTGGCCTTTATGGCACTCCCATCACAGTGTGGGATCCGAGCCAGGCGTTGGCGGCACGCCCAGGTGCGGCTTCGGCCGTGCCAGCCTCCAAATCTCTGTCGCGTTGGTTGAAATCCTGGTTATTTGTTGTGTGGACCAGGGGGTGTGGTGGAACGCCAAGGTGAGGATCCGTCCGAGCCATCCACCTGCGGCCTCCCTCGTCTCCGGTCTTCTTGACTCTGTCTTGACACCGGGCTCAGGCGGGGGAGGAGGAGAGAGTGTAGGTAGATGCAGCGCAAGTCTACTGGCACTATAAACCCCTGCGCAAGTCACCGTCCCTGCTCCCACCTGCTGTGGGGCATGCGGTGGACATCATCGAAATCGATGGTCGAACTGTCAGTGTAGTCCTTAAATCATGTCACATATGAAGTTTACTGAAATTGACGCTGATTCCTTCCAACAGCTAAAAGTTGAAGGGGTTTCAGCGTTATCACTGTCAGCTGGACACATGTGTAATAAATACCGATAAAAGGTTTTTCCAGATCAGGTTTGGGAGCCAATGACCACGTAATTCGAAATTGTGCATATTAATAAACACGCTTTTGTTAAGCAAAACGGATATTCTTTATATACACCCCTTGTAGGTGACAGTCACCAGGAGTCCTACTTGCTGAAATTCAGTTCTCGATTGCAGTGAGGTTTTGTCCTTGAGGACATAATTGAAAAAGGTACTCATCTTCCCGAATGACCCTTTAATGTTCGTGAAACTAGGACAAGGTTTCCAAAAGGTAAGACCGTTGGAATATAAGAAACTTCTGTGGAGCCCGTTTTGGTGTTTGGAGTAGAAAGTGAAAACACAAATTTGAATAACGGCGGTGGCATACTAGGGTATTTATGCAGTCAGCATAATCAGTCACAGTCGCCGTGAATAAGAACGACTGTCCAACAGAGGAACCTACCTTGGCAATTCGTCTACAGCAGGCGCAAAAACACGAAGAGGTGAATGAGACCCTCATATATGCTGCCGAATGAAAATTACTTAGGTGCGGTTTCACGACTGAAGATTACTAATTATAACACCGATTCGATTCACATAGGGAAGTATGCCAACTCAGAAGCAACAAGTTGTCCAGCCACCTATGTCGATTTAGCTATGACATACTTTTTCCAATGACTTTTGCTGGCTATAAAAGTTTTTGTGTTGCAAAGGAAAATTTTCTAACATTTATCTCCCAGGAGTTTTTTATACTATGCAATCGAATCGCTGGGCTTCAAAAAATTCAGGTGTTTCCTTTAAATCTCATAGTTTAACGATATTTTTTAATTTTGCTAGATTTCAAATTCCCTCAGTACACACTAAAAGCCTTCCCACGAGCCATGTCACGCTCCTGTGGATGGGTACCTTAAACATCTTTTATACGACTGTTTAGGGGAAGTGTGACTTGCTGATATTAGCTCGTGTCAACATCGGGACATTCATCTGGAGGACGTTAAAACAAACAACTCTTCTCGGCTCCAGAATGCAATTTTTGAAGTGATCTCTTTTTATGATAACTGACTGTTTTGCTCATGCTTGTGGATAATCCACAGGGGTAAGGTGTCATTCCTCCGTGCAGAATTGTCTTTAGCGGATGTAAAGCTTCTCAATGAAGCAAAGCCTGTTTCGCGAGGGTAAAATCAATGCTTACTGACATTGCAACCTCAATTCAGTGTACTTTTACATTTGGCAACAAATTAAAGGACTCCGGAAAGTAAGCGAATACGCCGGAAGACGTAAGGGTACACCGAAAAACGTGACTAGCTAGTCTCACTTAAGTCAGTCATCCTGACTTAAAGGGACTGCGCAACAAAGCATTCAAATTGGCGAAAATGGGGATTAAAAACAACGTCAAAGCATTAGCAACTTCGCTCACAAAAATGCTCCAAAAGTTCCACAGGTAAATCTCCACATTTTAGGAGAAAGGCACGAGTATGTTTTAGAAAACAATATCGGTGGTGGGGACGAAATCCGTGTCAAACAGTAAAGGGACCAACCATGGGGAGAAATCCAGTGTGCATCCCGAAATGTATTCAAAGGATGTAATTGACTCTTAGGAATCTCGATATATGCCAAAATTTGGAATCCTCCTTTGAGTATAAAGTTTTCATATATGATTTACTGAAAAATGATTTC